CTCTCTCTCTCTCTCTCTCTCTCTCTCTCTCTCTCTCTCTCTCTCTCTCTCTCTCTCTCTCTCTCTGCACTGCGCAACGCACCCGCACCGGCACAGGGCCGCAATGCAGGCGCAGAGCAGTCGACACTCTAAATTGTGGTGAGCATGTTTCCAAGTAAATTTCTCTGTTGTCAATGTTTGTCACAAATGAGTATTTACCGTTTATTGCATTCTAAATTGTTTCCTCCCTTTGTTATTTAACATTGTATCTGATGCTTTTGGGTGTTCCACGAGGGATCAAGATATTAGAGTGCAAAATCTTAAAGTGGGGAGTTTACTTCTGAGGGTATAAAATACAACCTAAATTGTTTGATTGAGAGTTTCATGTCATGGGATTGGGAGGAGAGTTATGTTGAGCTGTTTGAGTTTGAAATTTGATTGCTGGATAAATTTCTGCTACAATATCAGTCTGTGAAGTCCATGGCCATGAATTTCCCTTCAAGTCAAAATGTTCAAGGTTGTTTCCTTGCAAATGATGCTAATCACAGACAACAAAGTCCTCTAATAGGGGAAAACAAAAAAATAAATTAGGCGTGTTTGTGGTGACCATCTGATCTACTGCAGTTCTTTGTTTCTCCTTGTATCGAGTATGGGTAATTTGAATCTATGTTAGGTGATATGCCATGGTCAGGACCTTCGAAGGAATCGATCCGAATATTTTGGTGAAGCAACAGTGTCGACTTATAGATGGTAGACTGGATATTGTAAATGATAAATGGTTAAATCTGAAGATCTTATATCAAGCATTGACTGAATATATCATGTCGATATGGTAAAGATCTACATAGAGTCTATCAATGGTGACTGCAATTGTGTTTTGCACATTAAATTATGACTATAGCTTCAGTTGTATTCTGGAGAGCACTGAACAAGATTTAAAGCCTTGTATTCATAAACGTATAAAGTAATGCTGATGAACTTTGATGTTTGTCACAAACCTATTCTTGAATTTAGAATGCATCTTGATTAGAACCGAACAAACCGAACCGCACCGAACTGACTTGCAATAGTTCCGCTCGGTTTTGAATAATGAGTGGTTCAGTTCGGTTGTTCAAAATTTGATAATAACTGAACCGACTGACCGTTTGCACAACCCTAATTGCCACTATCTAGCCCTAGGTTTTGACTGGACCAGAATCAAAACCTCCAAGTCTTAATAAAGAAACAAGAAGTAGGATCTAGGGGTGAGCATAGTTCAATTCAAACCGAACAAACCGACCGAAATTTGATAGTTCAGTTCAGTTTTTACTAGAGTTCGGTTCGGGTTGGGTTAAAGTTTTTTCAACCTAAACTAACCGAACCGACCGAATTGTATTACCCATTCTAATTACTATTTGCATCAACTTAAACCCGACCCATTATAGTTATGTAGAGTTACTTTGCTGCAGCTTGATATCTTTTTCTCTCATGTGACCTGATAGTGATAAAATACCTCAACAATAGTGTCCTCTCCAATTCTAGGGTTTTCCATTATCTCTAGTTCTCTACCCCTCTCTATTATCTATTTGCTTCTTCTACTTTGGACCAATCCACTTTGGAGGTAAGGAATTTAAATCATAATGTTGATCCTAACCTTTTCTTGATATTTCTCTTCGATTGATACATCTTTGGATTTGACTTATAATTTTATAGAAACTATACCCAACATCTAAATTATTACATATTTTTTATTTATTTTGTCTATCAGATTGAGATCACTTTAATTCTTTATGTAAGCTTTCTCTAAAAAATTAATTATGTAAGTTTTGGTAGGAATAAGATTTTAATTTCTATATCTAATATTCAGTAGCATTTGATAGTTTATGAATTTTAATAAATTAAAGTGTAAGAGACAATAAATTGAAGTGTAAGAGACTTCTTTCTTATTCAACAGATTAGAGGTGAAACTGAATTTGGACATAACATTTATACCCAAGTGAAAACCGAATAAACCGACCCGAACCAAACCGAACCGACTTAAATTTTATTCGGTTTGCTTTTGAATGATAGACAGTTTGGTTCGGCTTGACCAAATTTGACTAAAAACCAAACTGACCGACCGATTGCAGGGGCCTAGTGGGATCCATTGTAACATGCTAATAACATGGCCCGGTCCATGCAGTTTAGAGGCGGACAGATCCTTTTCATGTCAACAATTTGGTCTACCACTGATCTTATTTTTTTTTTGAATGAAACAGTCTCATCATCATCGTCAGCTTGTATTTCTCTAATTAAAGAGTGACGTTTAAAGTACATAATAATTTGCATTGTTCTTTTGGGTACTCATTGCTTGCTCATTTGCGTATCTACAGCATTGAATGTATTGTGTACGGAATCCTGCACGTACTAGACTAACTAGGCTGTTACGCATTATAACACCTCCAAATGTCAAAATAACTTTTTACAATCACCATCAACTCATCAAGCTGTTAGCTACTTAATTTGCCTCCAATGAACAATATTAACTATCTACAACCATAGGAAACTAACTTTCGTACACCTAACTTTAAGTGCTAAATTCCAAAATATATACAGTGACTACATAATACATTGTTGGCTATTAATAAATACATACATAAATGACCTTTTGAAGAGTAGTAGCTAGGTAGCTGCCGTGTGACCACATGACACCATCTACTTAGCCAATGAACAGTCACGTTATAGTTTTGGATTGGTTTTTTTATTAATTTGAAGGCTGTCGTGTTAACCATTCAAAAATTATTATTCCTTATATTTTATTAATTAGTGAGAGAAAAGGAGGAAAGAGCCAAAAAGAATTATTATTATTATTTTTTTACTTTGGATCTTAACTCTCCTAAAATCGAGGGGATGAGAGGGGAGAGATTGGATCTTAAGTGAGAGCAATGTATACTGGTAGGCTGGTAGCGCAATATTCCTTCCATTCTCATTCTCTATTTTAAACAAAAACAAATTTATCACTCTCTTTTCTTTCTTATAGTTGTGTCACGCCCCTGAACCTGCAAGCATGTTGGCGCAGTGTAAGTCACGAAATCCACTGTGTACAACTTGTTGTTTAGCTCAAACCACTTGTCAAAATGTGTAAATTTCACATAACCCCCCTAAGCATTGCCCGGTTTATAGGGTTGAATTCATTTAGAGTAACAATTAGTAATTAGAGCTAGCATAGTTTTGAAAATGATATTTTAGTCTTTTTCTCAATTACGCAAACACCCATTGGGGTTTACTTGGAAAAATAGAATGAGTGCTATAAGTAGATGCATCTTCGAAAATAGAATGGTGCTTCTATTTGTATAGCTCCATTAATAGTCCTAGTTATATGTAGTTGTAGAATTATAAAGAGTAGGTAGGAGAGATAGTGATGGTAATGCTATCCTTGTAGGATTCTCTAAAGATTGGTATTGTGGCGGACTTTTTTACAAAGTTCAGTTTTATACTACAGCAGTTAACTTGCTGTCTACAGCTATAATTGTGAGAATAATACAAATGCGCATGTGAATAAGGTTTGTGGGAAATATCACAAGTGATTAATTTGACAGAGATGCCAATGATAATTTATTCTGATCTTGGATCTAATTAATTAATCATCCTTGCATGTGAAAGCACGAGACTTTATATATATATATACCTTGAAGTTTCCAAATTTTAAACGTTAATATCTTGTATTACGTAAACATGAGATCGATTTTTCTTTCGTTTTTTTCCCACGTGGAGCTCACCGTACGTGTAATTTTACAAGTTTCTAACCCTTAATGTTTGATGAGCTTACTGTTAAACCCACCCTAAAGGTTTAAAAATAAAATCCCGATATAAATGCCTAGTAGAAATATCATGGATCAAATTATTGTAAAATTAGCTTGTGAATGTCACATACGAGAAAACTCAGAGACAACTTACTTCACGTGCTTACATGAGTACTGAAGGTGTTAAAGTGCAACTCTTAAAAACTTTAGAGTATATATATATAAAATGCTACCGAT